TTTATATATAGGGGTATTTAGTCAAATTAGCAAACCTAGAGGGTTTTTTAAAAATTTTTAAATTTATAAAAAACTAAAATATTAAACTTTCAAGGTCATTTTAGTCTTTTCACTATTATCAAACGAAAATCATTAACAAAACATGACACAAGATACCTATTTATCGTTTCAAAACCGTTTAGATATCAACTTGTCGTTTCAGCAAACCTTAGGTATGTCTAAGTCGTTCTCCCTTAATTTTATAACACCAACACCCATGACAACACCTGAGCTACAAAACAGAATCCATCATCTCTGAAAATCCTCTAAACCCCACTGAAAATCACCAAATCTCGCCAAAGTTCAATCAAATTACAAAAACTCCACTCTTCTCCAAACTCTTCTTCACAAGAATAAAAAATTTTCAAATCACTTCTTTCAAAACCCACGGTAGATATTAGAGGTGCCCTTGAAAAATCTCCTCGAAACCAGTCGATAATCCTTAAACGGAGAAAATGGAGAGTAGAGGGAAAGGAATCGAAAAAGAGTCAAGATTTTACCTGAAGGGAAAGCGGCTGAAGATTTTTAGTGGAAAACAAAAGTTGAAAGAGGTCTTCGTAGAGAATGAAATGGGAAGAAGAAAGAGAAAATATTTATAAATATAAAAAAGGTAAGAAACTCCTCCATAAATGTTTGACTTCCCAAATTGCCATGTGTCAGTTTCTTGTTGCACATTAAAAGGGAAAAAAATGCTAAAAATTCTCATTTTCCTCGCCTAAGAGTTTTTATTTTTAATGTAAAACAAATGCATCATGTGGGGACCACGTATCATAAATAGTAAAATCATTTTAAAATGGTCTATGTGAGTCTATTTTTCAAAAAAAATAATACGGTCACCGATGTTGGTATACCAAATTTATGTATCAAATAACGTAATAAAATTCTAATCATTAATTAATTTTAATTTAATATTAATCAACGGTCAGAATTTTATTACGTTATTCAGTGTATAAATTCGTTACACTATCGTTTATGGTTGTAACATTACTCATTTTTCAATTAAAAGGGCCGAATCAATTACCTTCCTATTTTGACCATCAATTGCACATGTATTAATTAAAAGAATAAACCATTTTTTCCACCTAAATAATGGTCTGATGGCACTTTCGTTCGCACTTTTAAAATACAATTTTGTTATCCACACTACAAATCCATTTAGTAAATTTCATAATGAAAAAGGATAAGATGGTCAAATGTTGATTATATGTAAAAGTAGGATGTTATATAAAAAAAATGACACCTAATTCCGGTGGCTGAGAAAAATTGGTTTGCCACCAATGGTAGGAAAAACTACCAGAAATTAATCAAACAAGCCAGTCACTGAGTTATCCAACCTCGAATAACTATGCGCTCAAGAAGTTCACTCTCTAGGTCATCTTCCAATCCTTTCTTGATGTAAGGAAATTCGAATCGATTTTGGGGCATTCTGACCATCTTCGCTATTTTCCCCAAAATGTCAAGATTGAGAGGTCTCCTGCCTACCAGTCACCTCTCAAATCCGGAATGAAAAGTAAATCAAAAGTCTCTCACAATTTTGACCAAGGTGGTTTACTTGCTTACGTTAACGAAAGAAGAGGATATTTGTGTATGGATGGAACTAAGAGCTTAGGGGGGGACTAGACAAACAAGCCAGCCACTAGCCCTATGTAAACTAGAGTATGGTTGGAAACAAGCCAGCCATACCAGTCGCCACTGTTCACCCCCCCCAATGCAGCCCGCACACCACCTATTCGTTAAAAATCCCCACCCAGTTAACTTTCCCCACCTAGCTAACTTTCCCCAGCTGCAAAAAAGGCAATCCAGATTTGAGGAAGGGGGATGATGAAGAAGAAGAAGAAGATGGGAGTGATTGTGGCTGAGGGTGAGAGGGGTTTTGATGGGAGTGACAACTCAGCATATGCCAAGCACCACAACATGACAACTTCTTCACCTTTTAACTTAAATTCATTTTGGATTATTTTTTCTCCATTTAGCTTATCACGTGAACACATGCATCCCATGCATTTTACTTCTTCATTTGGCTGAGTGCTCCTCCCAACTCAATAAAAGTACTATTCAGCAAAAAAACAATGTTCACCTTGACTCGGCTCATAAGGACGAATGTCTTAAAATTTTCAACTACAAGTTGGTCACCCTAACTCGGTCACAAGGCCTGATTCCTTGAATTTCAACTACAAGTTGGTCACACCGACTCAACCACAAGACTTGATTCTTTGAATTTCAATTACAAGTTGGTCACGTCAACTCGGCCACAAGGCCTGATTCCTTGAATTTCAACTACAAGTCAGTCATGCCGACTTGGCCACCAAGCTTGATGCCTTGAATTTCAACCACAAGTCAGTCACGTCGACTCAGTCCAAGGCCCAATGCTTTGGGAGTTCAACTACAAGTTGGTCATGCCGACTCGACCATATGACCTAGCGCCTAGGTTTTCTATTACAAGTCGGTAACTCCTCCCAACTCAGGTTGGTCGAGCAAACTCCCCCCATCCCAAGTTGGCCAAGTGAGTCTTCACATTTCCCCTAACCCCGGTTGATCAAAGCATTCGCCTCCCAACTCAGGTTGGTAGAGCAAACATCCATATTTCTCCCAACTCCAATTGGTTGAGCATTCACTCCTCCCAACTCAGGTTGGTCGGGCATTCACTCCTCTCAACTCAGGTTAGTCGAGTGAACTTTCATATTCCAAACAGTGATCTATCCGATCTAACAAGCTGCTAGCACTGATCTGCTCAGTTCACACTCATTCGATTAAAACTACTCTCTAAGGTAAATATCTTTTAACTTAGAGAGTGTGTGGCTAACTGTATAGGCAAAAAATTGTCTTGGGCTTGACGAGGCCCAATAACGAAATAAAACATGTCATAGCCCAAGGCCTTAGCCCAATTCTGGTTGGGCCTATGCATGAACCTTATTGATGGCATATATAACGAAATAACGAAATAAATATTATGCTAAGACATGCATGAACCTTATTGATGGCATATATAATCGAAACCCTCACGTACAGAAGGTGTTTGTTGTAGATTATGTTTGATTTATCACTTTTATTATTATTATTATTATTATTATTAGTCGTCCTCACACATTTACATTTTGTAGCCAAGTAAATGGACAACCTAAATTTAAAGAATGAGATATTTAAACCCATTCGATATTATTTTAGTACAGCCTTGTAATGGACAAAAATTCGAGTTGAGTGCTAATTATAAATTTTTTTTATATATAATATTAGTTGTGCTCATACATTTACATTTTGTAGCCAAGGAAATGGACAACTTAAATTTAAAGAATGAGATATTTAAACCAATTCGATACTATTTTACTATAGCCTTGTAATGGACAAAATTTTGAGCTGAGTGGTAATTATAAAATTTATAGTGAGTAATTTGACTAATGTTATGTCAAAATCTCAAAGGAGACAAGTTAAATGGCTTTCTAAAGGTAGGGTGTCTTTGGGGCTTTTTTGAAACCTCAGGGACGTTGTTGATATGTACCCTCGCTAATTGTAATTTGAGATTTTTCTTTTCAATTTGTTTGATAAAGAAATAAGCAGTTCTGTAAATCATTTAAGAGTCCTATTAGCTATATCATTCAACTATAGTGAATTCAATTGTGTATTGATTTTTGGTCCTTTTAGAAACATTAATTGTGCAACATGAGAACCACCACTAGATGATTAAGTAGTCAACTATGACTCTTAGGTGTATCACTGAAGAGATCTTGAGTTTGATTTATCTTAGCCCCTAATAAGGGTTGCCATTGGAGGTTTACTCGGTCGTTAACTTCAAAATCTTGGAAGATTAGTTTAAGTGTGTATAAACTGATTGGGGGGGGGGGGGGGGGGGGGGGGGGGGGGGGGGGGGGGGGGGGGGGGGTGTTTGGCACCATGTGACAATTTTGGTGGAAAATGTCAACAAATGAATTATTGCATGTGAAGAAAAGACAAATACAAGAGTACTAATAATTTAGACCAAATCTAAAGATCCAACAAAGTGCCCACTGCCTGGGGCCACAATCATATACCCATGAATTTTGTTATAAAAGTTTGTAGAATTGAATAAGAGTCCAATCCTCTCTTTCTTCAAAAAAAACCTTAATGGTTAGTCGTATACATGCATTTGAGTCAAAACTATTTCGACCCACAATCATGAAAACTTGATTAATAACCTCTCCATTATAACACTTTCATTATAGCACTTTCTTGAAAGCTCCCTCAATATGCTTTGCTTGTTCACACTTCTTGAAGTCTTTTTTTTTTTTTTTTTATTTGGTTAACCAATTATATAGAAAACTAAATGATGCACTCTTAATCTTGGTAACTAAACTTTAAGACAAAAAAAAAAAAATTGAAGATAAATCTGCTACCGCTTCGAGGAGATAGCATCTCCCAACAACTATGAAAGTATATTAATTATTTGCTTTACGCTTCAATCAGATGCTGATGTAGTTTAAATACAAATTAAAAATCTTCAACAAAATGCCCAAAAAAATAGTGCCAAACCAGACAGAAAAATAGCAAACCGAAAATCAATCAAAAGATAGCTGAGGATTGGTTATGGACTTGGCCGTCTCTTCTTGATTAAGTCAGCTCTAGAGAAGAATTATTGACTGCAACACTAAAGTTTACTCACTTAATATTATTTGAATTAGAACATGATTATAAGTATTCATTGCAGGCAGAATGTGTCTCACACTTGGTGGTTGGGCCAATTTTATGACTAAGAGATACAAAGGAGAATAATTTAAAATATATGCATACATGAGTACAAAAAGAAAACGAAATGAATATAATCTCCCTCCAATGCCTGTTTATCCATCCAAATCTCTGACTGATTAAAAAATAAAAACATGTTAACGATTCCTGGTAATAATAGCAGGAAAATACAATGAAAAAAAGAAATAAATATAATCACCGAAGCATATATGCCTAAGGTATTCAGAAATCATCAAGATGAAATATTAATATTAGAAAAATGAAATGCCTACACAAAATTTAGTCCAAGTCCAAAAAATACTTAATAAGTAAATTCTGTAAAAAGTACAGAAACAAAATTAACGAGGGATGTATCTCCCATTTCACCTTCTAATTTCCCTAAACATATATTATTTTTTTGTTGGACAAAAGTATTAATATATAATTTTACCTACTACTGAGAACTGGTTAACCCTTCCACAGCTCAATAGAGATTTTCATCGCTCCCGAGTATCATCCATCAAACCCGGAATATGATTTCCAAGATAAGAAAATTAAAATTGAAAATACAAAAATGCACATGCAACTATCTCCTGCTCGCTGTCTTTCCCTTGCTTAGATCTGCAAGCTCCTCAATAAGCTTTCTCTCTTCGCTGCTCAATCTTTTTGGGATTTCAACTTGCACACGTACCAACTGATCTCCTCTCATGTTGCTTTTATTTAGTACTGGTACCCCTTTCCTTGCCATTACAAGTGTTGTGTTCGGCTGCGTCCCAGCTGGGATCTTCAAATCAACCATGCCATCCACCGTTGGGACCTTGATTGTAGTCCCCAGAATTGCATCTATGTATGAAACTTTGCAAGTGTACAAAATGTTGGTGTCGTCACGTTTTAGTACAGGGTCTGGGATAACATCAATAACAACAAATAGGTCACCGGGAGATCCACCTCTTCTTCCAGCATTCCCTTCGCCGCGGACCCTTAAACGGCTACCAGTATCCACACCAGCTGGAACTTTCAGACTGATCCGTTTTGTTCTCCTCACACGTCCATCCCCAGAACATGTGTTGCATGGAGTGAACACTTCGCCAGTCCCATTACATGAAGAGCAGGTCATTACCTGCTGGAAGACACCTAAAGGAGTCCTTGCTGATGAGACAACTTGCCCTTGCCCACCACAGGTAGTACATTTAGATGGCTTTGTCCCTGGTTTCGCACCCGAACCACCACAAGTCCCACAACTCTCAAGGCGTGTTACCTCTATCTCTTTTTCAACTCCAAAAACTGCTTCCTTAAAATTTATGACAAGGCTGTAATATTCATCCTGTCCATCAACTGCTCTGCTCCTGGAGGCTCTGCCCCCCATACCGCCCATACCACCCATTCCACCCATACCGCCCATACCACCCATGCCCTCGAATAGTGACTCAAACAAATCGAAAGGATTGCTGAAATCCTGCTTTAGTCAAGTAAATTCCAACCATGAGAAGCAGGCGTTGCGAGTATCCAAATAAATAATATATTTTGAAATAGATGGTCTTATTCAGAGTATGCAGAATTTAACTTACCCCCATGCCCATACCAGCACCTTTAAGTCCAGCCTCTCCATACCTGTCATACAGGGATCGTTTTTCATCATCTGACAAGACCTACAGTACAGAACAACTTCATCACTTGAAAAATAAAAACACTTCAGATCATAAACCCTGGCTCAACCACAAATAACAAACTAAAATAACCACATGATTGAACATTTTACCTCATATGCATTGCTTATTTCCTTGAATTTCTGTTCTGCACCAGGCTCTCTGCATAGAGATTAAAATAATTACAAATAAGCAACATTACTTAGATGGGTCTCAAATTCATAAAGACGTTGTAAGTTGCAAAACAGGCTGAGCAAGCTGAGACTACCAGTGTTGTAACCAGGAAAAAAAAACAGATTAGAGAAATGTAGGGAACTTACTTGTTCACATCCGGGTGATAACTCCTAGCAAGCTTCCGATAAGCTGAAAAAGGAAAAGTATATAAGAGCAAGTAAATATTAATTGAAGAAAAATAAGAGGCCATGCTAAAGCTGTTGATTAAAGTACAGGAATAAACTTGTGGAAATGAGAAATGCGTCTAATTTGAATAAAATTACCACTTAATCAACCAAGCATGTATATAATTCAACAGAGCATCTTTACCAAACTTCAATGAGAGGATTTCTCCAACAAGACAGCACAATCATCTTATAAAGTAAAACAGCTTAGACCAACTAAAATAGGACATATGGGAAGGATCAAAAGGCTATTTAGTCCTTGTCTCTCAATATTTTAGAATTGAGTTGTCTTAGATAAATTCAACTTTTATTTCATTGTTTTGTTAGGATTAGAATTATTAGATAATATTGTGAGTAGGATTTGGTTTCTTAAACCTATGAATAAAGGCATCTACATTGACATGCATAGTTGATGAATAAATATGATTATTAGTTTCTCCATATAGATCGTTCTTCTGGATTTCTCCTCTTTCACACTGTTATCCTTAATCTATCCTTCTTATTCTCTCTATCTCTTCCATTTCTTTTTTCTGGTTCTCTATCACCAAGTCTGTCTCTTCTTTATCAATAGCCTGGTTGATTTAGATCTCTTACAATTCTCACACTAATCTAGAAGTTTAACTAGTGTTTATGCAAGGATGAAGTGGGGTACAGTCTTATGAAAAAGGAAAAGAATGTTTCTTTTTCATTAATTTTGGATAATTCAAGTTTCCACCTAGCTAGATATATCATCATAGGCCACCACACCCAGAAGCAAATAGATCTTTTATTTTATATAGATCAGGTATTTAAGGACGGGAGAGAAACAAATCACTCCATAATATTTCCTCCAATCATCCAACAGAAAAAAGATCGAACATGTCCTACAGCAAAAATGCAATATTATTTCCAATATGCACCTCTACTACTTTTGGTTGTTCCTTAATCAGAACTTCAGGAAATTAAATGTAAAAAGTGGACCAAGTATCATATCCACAAACTACTAGAACAGGTTTCAGTACTCTGTTTCAGACCATTTTTTTAATCTTCAATTCAACTTAATTTTACACTTATATTCTCAGATAAAAGGTAATATTGAGAATCACAAATGACTCATTACCAGTATCAGCCACCAACCCGACCATTTTGGCACTGCCAAATCAGAAAAGAAAAGTCATATTCTAGCACAATAACCTAATGCTCATATTTTTCAAGTTATGGTTTTTACAGAGCTCCATATTGACTATCTGTATACATATAATGTTTATCAAGAAAAAAACCTCATATAGCTCTCCCACACTGTACTCAACATCATGTTATGAAACTGCTTCCTTTTTAAAGCAACAATAAAAGGAAAACAAACTAATGTCAATTTGTGCCACAAACACAAAACAAATTCTCTATTACCATGGAGTAGAAAGAGCATAAGGATAATGTCAAATAAAAGCCTATCACATACACGGTTAAAAAAAAAACCATAGAGAAAATGTGTAATAGAACAATTCAGTCAAAATAGAAAAGAAGAGAAAAAGAAAATCTACATACCACTTTTTATTTCAGATTTACTGGCATTTTTTGACACCCCTAGGACAGAATAGTAATCCTGCATGTGAGAAAATATTAGTCATTAACTATGTAATGGAACATTTAAACAGCATATCAATTGCATTACAAGGTATATCAAACATGCATTTAAAGACCCACAAAAAGTATAAACTAACAAATAAAAAATAGAGGTTCCACCATCCTAAAGAAAGCTTATTCCTATACTCACCGCATCAGCTCTAACAACAAATCGTGCTCCTCTACGGCGATGTGAAGTTTGAGATGATCCCACATAAGATGACAATGAGAAGGAATCACGTGAAAATAAACTTGAACTTGGAGCCGCCAGACAGCTTAACCTGCCAGTGACACTGCAAAATGGTAAGATATACATCGCACATGCTTCCCAACTTACTAATTCAAAAGACTGACAGAGAAAATAATGCATTAATATGCCATGCTTCAAAATGCTGCTAGCCAGAGAGAACAAGCAATTCATCAGCAAAAAAATAATTAAAAACAAATCAGATCGCAGCAATCTTCTATGTGAGAAAAACCATCGTCTTGTTTGTTAGCATATGGTGTTTGCAAGCTGGATACCTTATAGAAGACACCAAGACAGTCTCCAATATATGCACAGAGGACCTACCTAAATCACAACTAGGGACCCAATTGCCAGAAATTTATGTCAGTTACATACATAAAGCAAGTCATGAGAGAATGTTCAGCAATATTTTGTCCAAACCATTGGATCAACCACACACATCATATTCTAAAAATCCAACAACTAGCAAAGACAAGGAGATTCATCCCAACAATCATATATCAAAAATATCAGCTTCAAATAATTAACATTCTTTAACAATTAACTACCTCAGGTATAAAATTAGATTCAGTTATTCATTCAGAATCCAACTCTGATTTGGTTACCCTTCAACTGCTGTGGTTAAAGAAATGAAACCCGTAGCATATAAATGTGAAATTTGTACACTATTGTTTTAGTTTAGCAGACTTGGAAATTAGCAAAATCAATAAAGACCCTTAAAGTTATTGAAGATCTAAAACTTAATTGTATAGTTAGATATTGACCTTAAACTTGAAAGGAAATTATAACTATATAGACCCCTTCCCCGTTTATCTGTCCATAAGAATTGAATGCCATACATCCCCTGCATGTAGTCCATATAAAAAGGAAAGGATTTTGTCATTAACAGTAATTTGAGTTCAAAGAGCTTTGTAGATATGCTAAGTAAATCTATATATATCCTGCCAAAATCATGGTCCTTAAACTAACACTTCAGGATAGGGCTTCATAATATGGAAACCCATGGGAGCTTAACAGATAGTCAGGCCCGTGGTTTGCTCCCACAAGGCCTGGGATTCGAACCCCCTGATTGGGTCTCCCATAACCAGGAGACAACTAATCTTTTTTCTTTTTTCGTTTTTCTTTTTGAACAAGGTGACCAAGATCGATTGTTAGACTGAGTTTTTCCTTCACTTTATCCTGTTTATTGTAATATATTGTCACCTCTAGCACTCTTTGCCACCTGTATTAGGGCCTTTATAATCCAACTTTCTTGCCTAACCTATTCTATATCATGTGCAACTTTGAAAAAGACCATAACTACGAAATAAATTCTCATGAAAATTCTAAATGCAAGTAAAATCCATAATGAGGCAGTTTAACTGAGTTCAAGAAGGTTCAAACAAATGCAGATGACACATTGAACATAAAGGGAAATTTTGGTTGAAGACCACATCAAAAAATCTCAAAAAAATTGCAAACGTTCTTAGTTTATGAAGAACCAAAAATTTTCATTATAACACATAATCAAAAAAGAACAAATTCCACTCAGTAGAAGATGTGGCAGCAAGAAACGCTGCCTTCTAACACAAACCTGCTCATGACATGAAGCTAAAAACACAGTACACTCTATCAACTATTTGCAACACCAGAAGTAAAGACTAGAAGCTAAAGTACGTGATTCAATATTTCCACATCTAAAAATAAAAATAAATTAAATAGAAACGCTCACCCAGATTGGGATGTTGATGCCCTGCTTGGGATATAGGACCTTATCATAAACTGAGGACGAATACCCCATTGAGCGACTGATGTACTACCACAAGGTATAATGGCCATTCAAGATGTTCACTAAGGAGCTCAACAAGCTTAATCCGAATATCCTTCTGCAAGCTGAGAACATAATTTCAAATAAGACAACTTATAATCCACTCCCCTTATAAATTATTGCACTTCTACTACATTTTCGTTCACTTATTTATCCCTGCTAGGGTTTAACATCGAAAAATAACAAACCCTACTTTTGAAAAATAACAATAACATGAGAATAAAACATAACATAAATCCTAAATGAGAAATAAAAATAAAAACCAAGAGCCAACATTAAGCCAGGAACTTAATACAAAATTTCACGCTTTTTTGTTTTCAGCAAAGCCAGAACTAAAATTTTAGTTATTCGATAATAAAAAAGAATTATAAAAAGAAAACAGAAACAATACACAAAACAATTAATGAACAAAAACATCATTAATTCGGGGCAGAAAATTAGGGCAGATGAAGAGAAAGGCAAGTAAAAAACGAACCGGATTGATGCCGTTGCGTGTGGCTTCGCGTTCGAGTTGGCTCTCTCTTTCGTTTGGTGGGAGAGAGTCGGTAAGCAGTGTCGCAGAAGAGAAGCGCACGAGCAGGTAAACTGAAGGATGAGGCTAGAGCTTTCTAATTTCATTGGAGAAGAAATCTTGTAATGGCGAAATTCAAAGCTTCACCCTATCTTTTTCTTGATTACATTTTGATACTCTTATTTCCGAAACTATCAACATCCCACCAATGTTAGTCTTTGTAGATTGACTTTTAATTTGACCAACTTTGACCAATAAATACCAATTGTACCCCTCCAAATAAAAGTTATGATAGAAATCAAACAATTTACATTATTTTAGAAATCAAATAATAGAGAATAACAATTGTTTTTACTTTACTAAAGGGTTTTGTAAGATTTTGAAAATGTTAATAATACCCTTAGTAAAGAGTAAATAATATCAAAGTTCTCATCTTTTCTTTTTATTTATGTTTTTTTGGGTCATTTTTGGTAGCACATTTTAACTAGAGTAAATAAAGTACTAAAATTTGACCATTTTTAACCGTTGGAATACCTATTTTACCCCATTAACCATCAACACCGACCATCTCTCTTATCAACAAAACCTACTTAACTAATCAAAAGTTCATTGGAACATCCCTCTCTCTTCATGACCTCCATCAAGTATCTCATTTGCAAAATATCATTATAATTCTCACAAATCCAGAATCAAAAAAACCCACAATCAAAAATAAATAAATCGTATTTCCAAAGCATCATCACCTCCATCTAATACCAGCTAAGGCAGCGATCTAGCCACAAGTCGTGTTATGTTGTGACCCCATACCGTGCAATGCAGCCAAGTTACATGGCAACAAGGCTAGTTGCCTGTGACACAACGATGGGGATTGATTTTTTTTTGAATTCTTTTCTCATTTGAACAAGTTTTTAGATTTTTTTTTTTTTTTTAAATGTTATGACATATTTACTTGTTGGAGTTCAGATTCCATTATTTACTTATAAGAAAAAATATTTAAAGAATAGAATGAAATGTGTAATATGTGGACAAAAATACATTCAATAAAATCTTCAATTTAAGTTAAAATATATGATTATAAATAAATTAATTAAAACTAATTCTACCCATGTTTTTAAGGAATTGATTAATGATTATCGATGAGATTCTTATTCTTTACTTAATTCCATTAAGTAAACAAGGGAATTGAGAATCTCAATTCCATTGATCCCTTATATTCTAAGAAGTAAACACGTCTTTAGAGTTTTAATTTCGAAGAGTAAAGACAGATGGTTTTACGCTTAAGATTTTGTTTATGTTATTTGTGGTTGTCAAAATGACATGAATGCCCTTTTGCTTCTAATTTTAACGGTAGAATCTGAAAAATGGGGGGTGAGTTTGTGTTTTTCGAAATGAAGGGGGACTATGTAGTGCACTATAGTTTGGGGATCAACAAGTATTTGGCTGAGAAATTAAAAAAAAAATTAAATTAAATTGTTTTAGTTATAAATGTTTTTTTTGTTTTTTAATTAAAGGGAATGATTAACGTGGAGCGATACTATCAATTCCATCTATCATCCAATAGTACCATGAGTGCCTTTAATTTATTATTTTAGATAGAATTTTGGGAATAATATTGGGTAGTTGAATAGAGAAGTATTAAAATTTAAAATTTTTTAAAAAACCCCCTAGGTTTGCTAATTTAAATAAACTCCCCAATATATAAAAATTTTGTAAAATAATAAAAATATCCCCACCACCCGCAGTGCCAGATTCCAGCTACCACCATCGGAATTTGGCCAAAAAATTGTGTTACAACACAGACCGATCAGATCTATGTCGTAACGCGTCGATATGGCCTTTTCCGGCCAAATCCACCACGGATATGGTCAGAAAATGCCAGATCTACGGCCAGATGTGGTCGTCGACGGCCTCAAAAGTCCATCTTTGGACGTCAGTGACGACCAAAGATATGGTCGTCGTTGTCGGTCAACGATGGCTAAAATTTGGCAGTCAAATCTAGTCAAAAAAGGCCAATCGGTGAATTACCTGCCAGTTTCGGTCGTGGGGGTGTGACAGATTCCAGCTACCACCAACGGTAGTTGCCAGAATCTGACAAGTATGGGTGAGTGGGGGTGTTTTTGCTAATTTTTAAACTTTTTTCTGAGGGTATTTAATGAAATTAATAAACTTAAAGGGTCTAAAAATAATTAAAAAATATACTAATATTTATCAAATAATGTGCCAAACAATATTTCGGGAATATGGGTAGAAATATTTAACCAAACGTACTAATTTTGTATTACAATTTTATTCATAAATAAGATTGTAAAAGGGTTGAAAAAATAATTAAATGTTTCTATGTAAAACATATATCTTCACGTCAACCTTCAATTTTTTTTGTACACTTAATCTCTTAGTTTACATTAACATTTGATTTTTTAATTTAAATTAATATTACAATTTTATTCTTAAATAAAACTATCAAACGATTAAAAAAAATTGAATGCTTTTATACGGAAGAAATCTCCTTTACATCGAACTTTAATTTATTTTATCCATTTAATCACTTTGTATTAATTAAAAATTGATTGGGAATAGATTTAATTAATGGAGGAAGAAGTTATTCTAGTAACTTATGTTGCACAGTTAATGAATAACTGGATAAAAAGTCCGCGCTTTGCGCGAGTATGTTTCTTATATTTTTTTTACATTATTTTTTCTGTTTTAAATATATATTTTATGTATCAAAATTCATTTTATATTAACTTGATAGTTAAAAAATCAATAAATAAAATATCCACAAATTTAATTCAAAGTTTATATCATCATAATTCTTCTCAAATATGTCACCATTTGACATCTGCAACTAAAATTTAAAACTTTCTCAAGAAAAGCAAAAAAAATTGTAAGATAACCCACTGGGTATTATTGATAAGTCTATAAATCAATCAGAGAAAGAGAAAATTTGCTGAAAATATGAACTTTTAAGCAAAAGACTTGCAAAGCCAAAGGAAAAAAAAAAAAAACCGATTTTGATTGTTGAGAAAAGAAAATGAATTATTTTTATTATTATTATTTTAGAAATAAAAAAAATTAAGAATGTTGAGAACAGAACTCACATAGAAACCAATAACAACTCCAACAATATCATCTGAAGACAATTTAATTGAAACATTGAAGAAGTCATGAAGATAAAGGTCCTATGACACAAATCCATTTGCTGCAATTAGAGTTGACCACCACATATAGCAAAAAAAAAATTTGATAATAGCATCCTGAAGAAAGACGATAATTGTAAAACCCACAAATCAAACAACAAAATCAATCCAAAAATCAACAAAAAGAGATAGAACAAAAATAATTAAAACTACATATCAATATTTGTTTTCCTTTGTCATCACTAAAATTGAATTTGTTTTATGTGTGTGACGATAAAATGAATGGTTCGACAGTAGGCCTATAGTTATTCAAATTCATCGCTATCTTTCTAGTTTTCAAAGATTCAAACCACTTATTAATTGGATTTTTATTGAGCAAGTTATGGCTAATTTATTACTGGTTGTTCAGTGAAAATCGATAAACATGGGAAACCAAAATGTGTGTGATGATAAAAGGAATGGTTCGATAGGGGGGCTACAGTTATCCAAATTAAGCATATAATATATCAAATTAAATCTATGTCTGTCTAGTTTCTAAATATTCAAACCTCTCATCAATTAGATTTTTATTGAGCAAGTTATGGTCAATTTACTACTGACATGTTCAATGGAAACTAAAATATGTGTGATGATAAAATGAATAGTTTGGCAGTGGGGCTACAGTTATCTAAATCAAGAATATAGTATATCAAATTAAAGTCATGTCTGTCTAGTTTCTAAAGATTCAAATCTCTCACTAATTGGATTTTTATTGAAAAAGTTATGGTCAATTTACTACTAACTGTTCAGTAGAAACCAAAATATGTGTAATGATAAAAAGAATGGTTTAACAATGGGGCTACAGTTATCCAAATTAAATATACAATATATCAAATTAAAACTTTGTCTGTCTAGCTTTTAAGTATTCAAATCTCTCATCAATTGATTTTTTATTAAGTTATGGTCAATTTACAATTGATTGTTCAGTAAAAACATAAATGTATGTGATGATAAAATGAATGGTTTACTAAACCTACATGGTTCGGCATCAAACATCAGCTGATATTTGTTAAAGAAAGATAAACCTTGTTGAAAAATGTGAACTTTTAAGCAAGAGACTTGCAGGGCCAAAAGAAAAAACTGATTTTGATTGTTGAGAAGAGAAAATGAATTATTTTTATTATTACTTTTTTAGAAATTAAAATTAAAATTAAGAATGTTTAGAAGAGAACTCACATAGAAAGCAACAACAACTCCAATAGTATAATCTGAAGGCAACTTAATTGAAGCATTGAAAAAGCTATGAAGATAAAAATCCTATGACACAAATCTATTTGTTGCAATTAGAATTGACCGCCACATATAGCAAAAAAGCATCTATGATAGCATCCTAAAGAAAAACGATAATTGTAAAACCCATAAATCAAACAACAAAATCAATCCAAAAATCAACAAAAAGAGAGAGAACAAATATAATTAAAATTACGTATCAATATTTGTTTTCCTTTGTCATCACTAAAATTGAATTTGTTCTATGTGTGTGATAAAAAAATGAATGGTTCAGCAACAGGTCTATAGTTATCCAAATTCATCGCATGATATATCAAATTAAAGTTCTATCTTTTTTAGTTTTCAAAGATTCGAACCGCTCATCAATTGGATTTTTATTGAGTAAGTTATGGCTAATTTACTACTAACTGTTTAGTGGAAATCAAGAAACAGGGGAAACCAAAATGTGTATGATGATAAAAGAAATGGTTCAGCAGTGGGACTACAGTGATCCAAATTAAGCGTGTAATATATCAAATTAAAGTTATGCATGTCTAGTTTCTAAAGATTCAATCCTCTCATTAATTATATTTTTATTGAGCAAATTATGGTCAATTTACAACTAATTGTTCAGTGAAAACCGAAATGTGTGTGATG